AAGCATAATGTTTAGTTGGTGGCCCTGGCCCTTGCTTTTTATACAAATAGAGTAAAGACCGAATATTATGTATTAATGACATAGCAGAAAGTCTTTCATAGGGTCAAGTCAAAGAGCTCTGAGCCCAGAACTGGTCCTCGAATTAACTACTAATAAAATGGGGTCTATATTATAAGAGTGGTTAAAATATATCATAGCCTCCAACTTATGAAGGTTGACGATGGTTAACGTGGTCATACGTCCTTGCTTTGAGCGGTATCGTTCCGTTTTTTTTTTGGCTCTCCATCCTGGTGTCCCCGACAAAAAACTGGAGACGCAAAGTTTTTCCGCTTTCAGGGAGGGACGCCCTTCTTTCAAAATTGTCCCGCTTTCTCAAACTGCGTCGAGAGCCTCTGGCAGGATTTTATGTGCACAATCGCTAACACCTCCCTCCCGCTCTGTAGTATTGAATCCTGAAAATTAGCCATACTAATTGACATACATACACGGAAGTTCTGCTTTTAATAAAAAAATAAATCGTTACGTTAACAATGACTCACTTTGTAGATGATGTAGCTTGACAGATTTTATGGGTCTAGTATGCTGGAACCAGGAGGTAAAAAAAGAATCATAATAAAACACCCCAAGTAACGAAATTGTAGAAGGCATCCACTCTGGAGGTGAATTATTTAAACTGCACTCTAGGTACCCATTTTCAATGCATATTCAATGCACACTTTTGACTACAGGTTTATCCATTTACAAATATGCTAATAATTAATACATGCATTACATGCAAGCTCGTGAAAATCTCGTACCACGTGACATGGGTTTTAAAATTATCGAAAATTATAAAGTTGTCCGTACGCTAATAAATGTTTTGCTTTCGCATATCGTGTTTTCAATATCAGACCAGCAATTTCAGTACCATTAAACACTCATTTAGCTGATCAACTGCGAACGTAATCTGCAATGGATGGATATGTTTGTTATTATGGTACCAGGAAAACAGTAAGCGAAAAACAGTAATTATACCTTGTCGCACACACAGAGATACAGCTGGAGTGTTTCTTAGAAAGATGCTTTACTTAATTATTCAAGTCTTAATAAATACATCATCAGAATGATACATCGAACACAAAATACTACAAGCCTTCAGTAGCTAGTAGTATTGGCATTTTTTGTTTGTTCGTAACCCTGTCACCACTGGATCGATTTTAAAAAGATTTCTTGTCTTTGGTATTGCAGGAACCTGTATCAACATCCGAGCAAAATTATAGACCGATGTCAGAAATACCGAAATGAAAAGTTTGTTTCGAAATTTTACGATTAAAATATTTCAACGTTTCCATTAATTCCGTTGGTCATATACTTTCTTCAAGTACATTTGGATCGCGTTTTTCAGGACTTCTTCAGAAAGCAATGGGCCAATTATGTTGAAAGGTTATTTTCTGTATTTTAGTAACTAGCATCATTTTGATAAAAAAATTAAAAATGCACTAAAGTTAAAATATTTCCGAAACCAAATAGCAGCTTGAATGCCAAATTTTATATTCTCAAACTCAATTATGTACTCATTTAAAAACTAAATGAAACGAAACGAAAAATGGCTACACATTTTAGAAAAGAATCAAGAACCTGGATTGAAAAGTTTGTATTATTCATGCTCAAGTTGAAATAATTCACCCTTGAACTCATAAATATCTTCCTCAATCTGTAACTATATCTCTATAAAACTTATTGGCAACTTTGGGTGAAATGAATGAATGAATTATGAAATTAGAGGCATACCGGCCAACATGAGAGCCCGCGCATAGGTCACTTAAACGGGCCTTTAGCACAGCGACACAGAACATGAGCCGAGGACTCCTCCTCTATCCTGCAGCGCTCATACGAGGAATCATCAGCCATCATGAGCTCCCTTGCCTGACGGATCTAGTGATGGTTCTCTATTTCTGGGAGTATTGTCTTGCAATCCACTTCTCCATTTACCTCGGTTAGGACCTTCTAACTTCTTTTCTGATAGAGATTTTTCATTGGGCTACAGTCCTTCGATGGGTTAACAAAGTAATCCTTGAATAAGAGTGTTCAATGGTCTACCGAGCTTTTCCGTTCCTTAATATTAATCTCTTTAGAGTCAGCTTTAAAATCAGTTTTAGCAAGAATGCAAAGCGGCTTATCTTTAAGCACCAAAATTCAGTGCTTTTTAGAAAGGTCCGCATACTTATTTTTGAACAAGTCAAGTTAGCAAGGTGAAATTTGAAATGATAAAATTGACACATAATACAGGGTGCGCCAGAGAAACTTACTTATTTGAAAGGTCAATAAAAACAAAATTACTTCAATTATTGTTTTATTTTTTTTTTTTATTCGAGAATACAATATCCCAATTTTTTTTTCATGTAGTCTTGAAAATGACATCGGATAAATGGCGACCTCCATTGCGCATACACTGATGAAGTCGATTTTTAAAATTCGTATCCACTCTTTGCAGCATATCAATCGGTATGTTGGCAATGGCGTCGCGAATGTTGTTCTTGAGGTGTGCTATGGTCCGTGGTCGATCGACATAAACCAGAGATTTCAAATAACCCCATAAAAAGAAATCGCAGGGAGTCAAATCTGGAGATCGTGCCGGCCATTGGAGATCGCCTCTGAGAGAGATGAGGCGGTCGGGGAAATGTTGTCGCAACAAATTCATCGAGTCTCGTGCGGTGTGTGCTGTGGCTCCATCTTGCTGAAACCACACGTTCCTAACGTTCATTTCTTCGAGTCTCGGAAGAAAAAATTCCTCGATCATGTTCCTGTAACGAGCTCCATTCACGGTAACTGCGCGTCCGTTTTCTTCAAAAAAATAAGGACCAATTATTCCCATTACCGACATCGCACACCAGACTGTAACTCGCTCACAGTTAAGTGGCTTCTGGTGAAGCTCACGTGGATTCACACCAGACCAATAACGCATGTTTTGCTTGTTGACGCAGCCGGAAATGTGGAAGTGAGCCTCGTCACTGAAAAAAACGACCGCGTCTTCAGGCAGGTTGTCAACCAGCATTTCACATGCATTTTGACGGGCAACAAAATCGCTTTCAGTTAATTCTTGAACAACAGCCAATTTATAGGGATGAAAATGGAGGTCTTCATGGAGAATTCGTCGAACAGTAGTGTCAGAAATTCCCATAGCAGCTGCGTGTTTGCGAGCCGAACGCCGGGGAGAACGCACAACTGACTGCCTCACTCTTTCGACATTTTCCGGAGTTCTGATGGTCCGTTGAAGTCCATTTCTGGGTTTAGCGACACTTCCACACTCCCGAAATGAGTCAACCCACGACAGAATCGAATTACGGCCAGGAACGAGTCTGTGAGGAGGAATTTCAAAGCGAGCGCGGAAGGCACGTTGCGTAGCAACAACTGAGCGACCGTTAGAAAATAAGCTCTCGACTGCGAAGGCCCGCTGTTCTCTAGACCAGAGCATGATGGCAACTGACTGGAGCGAGAAATAAACTTGGGAACTTCCCCCTCCAGATGCGCCGCCTCTCGCCCCTCTACCCGCCCAGCTCACCGCGCGGGAATTTTTTCAAATAAGTAAGTTTCTCTGGCGCACCCGGTATTTGAACGTAAAAATAACAGTTGAAACTTTTAAGATAGCAACTGGTCACTAGAGATGGCCACTTAAAGAATCGTTTTGTTGCGATAAAGAGTATAAATTTTAAAAGATTTTACTTCAAAGATCCTCAAGACAGTTCATGACAAAGTTGCAATATTAAAACATTCTAGCGTACAGTATAGTTTCTTTTAAACACTTGAAGGAAGTTGTCGCTGTGTCATACCGCTATCTTAGATATGTCCTCACCTTCTTTGCGTTCCCATCTGTGCTACAATCTGCAAAGGTGACTTACGGTCAATTGTCTGGAGATTTGTCACTTTAAGCAAGACCTTGAAAGTGAGTTTTACAAATATTACGTTTGGCACTTAGCTTAAAATATTTTTGTTCTTGGAGTAAATTGAACTACTGCGCATCATATGGCAATAAAACCTGTAAATTTATCAAATGCCGCTTGGTCATGTTATGCATAAAGGTGCGTTTATGTTGGAGCTTCGATTAACGATAAGAGTGGCGATAAGAGCAGCGACAAAAGCAATGCAAAATTTATTTCTTGATATGTATTTTATAGTAGAGCTTCGACAGTAACGACGATACCTGCTTTTTGAAAATTAAAATATTGTGCACAGATCCCACCTAACTGCATTTTTTTATTAAAATGAGTGTTCCTGAAGAAGAAATACTTTTGTCGTTGAGTGCTGTTAAGTAATATATTTTAAAAATGACATATATAAAGCGAAAATTCTCTGCACATCCTATAAATACCCAGATACAAGTTTGGAGAGCTTAACAGTTTGTCGATAACAAATCTGTTATGATGGTGTCTGTCTTTTTGGCCCCACAAAGCGGGCCTGATGGATATTTCATTTATTAAAGTCTATATCCATGTTGCAACCACTTGTGATAAAAGCGTGTCTCAACTCGTTGCTCTACTATAAACGCCCAGCATACAAAACTACGAAATAATTTTCTCTGCTTCGCTAGTATCGCCGCTCTTATCGTTTATCCAAGCTACAACATAAACGCACCCTAACGCGGTCCATCTTATATAAGCTGTTAATTCATCACTTGTAATAATTTATTGGATCTGAGCACAACTTTTCTAACGATTTTAGAGCATCTCCACCAGAAAACTGGGGATGACAGTCCTTCAACTTTACTTGAAATGAATCTGATTTCGATAGACTCCAATGTTTCAAGAATTCTTGGGGTTATAGGAGATTTTATTTTAAACGTCGAGGTTTCGTCAACGATTACACGATACATCCTCAGGATATTAAGACGAGTCGTCTCGTGGACGAAAGCTCTGCATCAGACGCAGGTACTATTCAGAGGTAAATCTAGATCTCTCTCATGACGGTAAAATTTTATTCTAGAAGTTCAGTAAGAAAGTCAAATCATTGTGCGCCACGGTCACCATTTTTCTCTTCGTTTAACAGTCGTGGTACAGTTCCGTTGATGATGGAAACCGGAAATCCCGGCGGTTCCGCAGCGGCGAAACCACAACCACAAAAAGCGTCAGCTGTTGCATTCACTCTGGACCCCTCGTTGCGTTTGACAGCCGACCGACACATTTGTTGGTGACCGCGAGAACCGAAGCTCTATAACGTACGTTGATCGCGAGTGACGGAGCGCTGATCCGCATATGTTTTTTATATCGTACATCTTAATCTAGTGTGGATATGATCCGTGAGAATCATATTATCTTTATACGCGAACGCTTGTTTGATAGAACCATCTGTCATTGATCGCGAGAATCGAGGCTTTACAACGCGCATTGATCGCGAGCTACGGAACGCTGATCCGCAACTGTTTTTTTATATCTAGTGTGCATGTGATCTACTAGGATCCTGTCTCCATCTCAGCCAGCGTTGAGATTAATCGCTAGATTGATAGACCGATTTATCTGCGGTTATGACAACCAAGTCTCCATAACGTGCCATTGATCGCGCGCTAGTCCGCGGTTATTTTTTAAATCGTACATGATTATCTAGTGTGCATGTGACCCGAGACGATCTTATCTGTATCTCAAGAGGCGCTGAGGACAATACACGATCGCGATCAACGATTACTAGATTGATAGACAATGATGAGTGAATAAGAGCGCGTGTGAGCCAAAAAAATGTGCAAATGGTGCCAACAGTGAGTATTCATAGACTTAAATAAAGTTTGTTTGGTGCTTTTTTGTGGTGTCTGACTGCGCGCAGGAAACTTTCCTCCTAAAGTAACAAAGTTGCCTTACTCTTTACTGGAAGTGCGAAAAGTGCGTTAGTTATGTTACGTGTTTCAACATCAATTAACGTAGTCTACCTGAAGACAGTCAACCATATAGTGCATTCCGGCATCCAAAAAAGTATCTGAAGGATACTGGCACCACCTATGAGACAGTAGCAAAACACAAAAATAAATTCAGAATTCTACTTTGAAAGGAGTTACAGTGTGATAGGTTCTTCAATTCCTTCCTCTCTAATGCATGCTTGCAATGGGTATCTTTAGGTGGAATACGTTAGCCTAGTCAGAGTAAATCTTTAAATTCATGTTTGTGTTCTGCTACTGTCCATAGTTAGTGCTGGGACCTTGCAGAGCTCTTCTTTTGCGCCGAAATACAGAATTTCGTTAGCTACCTTCCAGAATACCTACGTTAGTCAACGGTTTTAGTTATATCTATTTTTCAAGGGAAAAGAAAATAACTTATAACGCTACGGCGTCTTTGGCCATAAAGCTTTCATATTTATAGAGTTACAGTTTTAATTATTGGTGGAGAGCTTTTTTTTAACCGACATTATATGGAGACAACAGATAGTATATGCGATACCCACCTCCGTCAGGGGGCATGATGGCTTTCGTAAAAAAAATTGAGATACAGAAAGCTTTCAAAATAAAATATGTACGAGTACTAATTCTTGTCTTCCTCAATCTTTTGGACATTTCCATGGTTAAACTGGTTTTACTGTAATTAGGACTGTTGAATGGACGGAAAAATATATTATTTTGGTTAAGTGGTTAATGTGAAATGTATATCGCCTAAAATACCTATTACAATGAAACAAGGCAACCATATCTTTAGATTATTAATTAAACCTTGGTAGAAAATTTTGGATCAACTGCTTTCCGAGAAATGAGAGAGAGGTATAAATATCAAAGTACCAAAAGCAAAAAGAAATTAAAAAAAGGTCTTACGATTGAGAAATGGATCAACATAAAGTTTGACTACCAAATTCTGAGAACATAAACCCAGAAATGTTTTCAATAAATCTTTTGGAAGGACTTCAGTAAGGGTTTCTGATCTTTACTATAACATCCTTTTCCATTTCTTTTTTTTTTCACGCTTCTGTCTCCGTGACTTTCACCGGTATCTATCCACACAGACCTGACAGATTTATTGACCGCTTCAATTCTAACCAAACGCAATTAATGATTAATTATTATATGCATTACGTCCACCATGGTAGGTTTTATAACACCCTAGGCTACAAACAAAAAAAATAGGTATTTCGTGTAAAAAAGTTTAGCAGATGTCTGAAAGTTTTAAATGAAACGGGGGTATTTCTAAAGACAAATACATAAACAGATACAGCCAGATATGCGTGGTTTTTTATAAACAATGGGAAAAGCTCAAAATTCAGTATTTTGCTTGTATAATTTTCAAATTAAATTTTATAAATAATCGGTAAACTGGAGATTTTAGAGCATGAAAAGATCTTCAACTTTACTTTTAAAGAATGAAAATCGATATACAATTAGATTCTAAATCTCAGCCGAATCAGCTTAATAGTTTATGTAAAAAGATAATTGTTTATCCCAGAGACGAATTATTTAAACAACTGTTCTTGCCCAAGAACATTTTACAAAAGTGAAGTGTATTCTTGAAGGTTTATGCAAAAAAATATTTATATTTATTTCAAAATTGTTGTTAAATATGATGTTAAAAAAATAGCCATTTTTATAGTTATAAATATTTACAAAAACCCCGTTATTTTTCAATATAATTTATTTTAACAGGTTAATCTGGATAAGTGGATAAAAAATGCATATTTTAAAAAATCTTCTATGACCAGTAGGAGCAAGATAATTTTTTTATATTCATAAATCCTTTAAAAACATTAGGACTCGAAAATACCACATATTTTAAACAAGGATCTCAATTTTATGATCCAATTTATAATTTTACTATTAGTTCAAAGGTCTTTAAGAAATAGCTACCTAAAGTGAAGGCACTCTCATAAGTATTTCCGGGTGAACGGTGGGGCCCCTAACTCGATTTGTTTTTTGAAATTGAGTCTTCAAATCAGAGCACGCTGTAAAATTATGCATTATCTGAGGTTCTTAGAAACGCAGAACCTTTTTTTAATTTGGGGTAACTCGAAATAATAACATCTGGCACATTTTCATTTTCCTGGAAAGTCGGGAAATCCCGAAAAACGGTGTATTCCTCAAAATTATGTAATAAAATAATTTATATTTTACGATAAAATTTCTTAAACAACTTATAATTCAATTAACTGGTATACTCTCAACAAAATACACCCTAATAAATTGTAAAAAATATTGATTCACGTTTTTCTCTCATTTATATTCATTTTATTTACATTCTTTATGTTAGAATAATATTATACAGGGTGCGGCAGAGAAGACGGACGTTTTCGGGATGGGTAGTACTCTCCGCCTCCGTCTACGAAAGAGGTGGGGAGGGTACCGTTTGACTCGTGAGATCCTAGCATTATTTTACCAGTTGTCGTTATGGAGCCTTGGACGGTGGATCACCGCGTTTTCGCCTATGATTGCTTCGTCCGAAATAATGACTCAGTCATCGTCGTACAGCGTGAGTTTCGTCGCCACTTCAACATTCATCGGAATAGAGCTGTTCCCTCTCGAAACACCATCCTTCGTTGGGTTGAATCACTTCGCAGGTGTGGTGAACTGATCAACAGAAGACCAAGAGGAGCGCCGCGAACAGTTCAAACTTCTGAAAATGTTGAACGCGTTCGACAGGTCTTCTTTCTCCCTGAATTACGACGGCGACATGTTCCAATCCGACGTGTGTGGTTCCAGCAGGATGGGGCGACCGCCCACACAGCCCGAGCATCCATGGACGTTATTCGCACTCTCTTCCCTGGTCGCCTTATTTCCAGGTTTGGCGATGTTCATTGGCCTCCTTGGTCCCCAGATTTATCCATATGCGATTTTTTCTTATGGGGACACCTCAAGGCTAGAGTATACGCGAACAAGCCCCGAACTCTGGACGAATTGAAGGGCGAAATTCGCGTGGAAGTCGCCCAAGTTGAGAGAGCGATGTTGGAGAGAGTCTACGCGAACTTCCAAGAACGCCTCCAGCACTGCATCAACGATTTCGGCCACCACTTACCTGATGTGATTTTCCACACTTGACTGTCTCAAATGCTATTTCCTTGTGAACCTGATTCCATCAATAAATTTGTTTTCGAGTAAAAATTAACTATTTTATGATTTTTTTAAAACTGTCCATGTGACCCTTGTTTTTTACAACTACACCTACCCGTTTGGCAAACAGTAGTATATTTACAGGAAATTTTTTTGATAGGAATGTCTGGTATAGGGGACATATGAATTTCAAAAAAATGTATATTGACTTCTATTGGTCGTAGGTTTTTTAAAGATGAGTTTTTTAACCACCAGATCCAGATGAACTTGTTAAAATAAATTATATTGAAAACTATCAGAGTTATTGTAAATGTTTAGAACTATAAAAATGGCTATTTTTAACATCATTTTTAACAACAATTTTGAAATAAATGATTATTTTGTTGAAACCTTCAAAAATTCATTTCGCTTTTGTAAAATTTTCTAGGACCATGTCTTGGCCAAGAACAGATGTTTAAATAACTCCTCTCCGGGATAAACAATTAGCTTTTTATAGAAATTATTAAACCGATCCGGCTGACATTTGGCACACATATTAACACCTATGATGCCCTCCGTCTCACAAATAATTAGCCATTTAGAATTGTTATTGCAATAATTATAAATAATTATTAAATATTGCTAAAATCCCCGTATTTAGCTTAATTGTTTTTCGATTTCAATTTTTAAAAAACAAAATTGAAGGTCTTTTTGTGCTCTAAAATGTCCAGTTTATCGATTATTTATAAAATGTAATTTGAAGATTATACAAGCAAAATACTGAATTTTGGGCTGTTCCAAATGTTTATAAAAAAACAACGCATATCTGGTTGTATCTTTTTATGTATTTGTCATTTAAAACTTTCAGATATCAGTTAAACTTCATTTCACCTTTTTTTATCTAGCCTGGACTATAATGGCATGTAGCTAGTTTTGATTGGTCAAGATTAAGTGACATATCTACAAGAAAGCATGTTCAGGCATTGGAACGATCGGTATCAAAACATTAAGTAATAATAATAATGTTTATTGGAGTATTAATACATAATAGAATCAAAATACGAGCAAATAATATAACACCAAAAAAAAATAATAATAATACTCCACCCCCGCCTGAATAGCTAAGGTAAATTCATTAAGTGAATTACTATATCTCACTAGGGCATATTATATACATTACATAAAGGACATGTAGCTGACTATCATAATGCTAACAAAACTTTAAAATACAGGGTGACGCATCGAAAACGAAACAGACGCATTTACTGGCAGCTCAGTTTTTTTTTGGAAAAACGCTCAGACCCGTGGATTTTATTTTCGAGGGGGACACAAGTTTGGCAAAAAATCACGTTAACACGTGCAGCCCCCTGGGCGGGGGTGACACCAACCCTAAAATCTTAAATGGAAAGGGGATCGAGTGACACCTTATTTTAAAGGTCTTTCAATTTCCTTTATAATGATGTAAAATACATGAGCAACAGTTCAGTAGTTTTGAAGATTTATTGATTTAAAGCTTAAAGTAGACTTTAATATGTATATCAGATTAGTTTGTACTACTTTCAGAAGAAATTTTACTAAAAGAATTTACTTAATAAGTAAATGCTTTTCTTCACTACGCCCATGGTTTGATTATCATTTTGTTGTTGAAAATAGCTATTGGAGCGTTTTTTTGTGGCAAAAAGGCTGTTTCTTGAAGAAAGATAAGGAAATATCTCGTACTTATTTTAAATAGTACATTGCGATTGATTTGACCAAACTTTGTT